TCACTTCCAGACTTTGCCTAAATTTCTCAGGCTCAAGTATTTGTAATATTGATTACTTTTAACTTGAAAACATTAATCACATCTGCATACTTAACTGCATACTAAGTACTTGATACATACTTGCATACTAAGTACTTGATAAATAAAATTTATTTGCCTGTATTTTAGTACACTTGTGTTTACTTCTTTTTTGTTTAGTACACTTGTGTACACTAGTACACTAGTACACTTTGTTTAGTACACTTGTGTTATATATAAATATATTATACTTAATAAATAAATAAAATTTATTTGCTTACATTTTAGTACACTTGTGTATACTTCATTTCACTTGCATTTTTTCACTAAAAAGAGTTCACTACTCTTTTTAGTGAAAAAATGTCATGAAAGTGATTAAAGTAAATCTTTTTTGCTGTACTAATATTTTAATTTGTTGCTGTTGATTAGCTAACTTGAATTAATTTAAGCAACTCAAGTAAATTTGGACAGGGTTGTATTAAGTAAAAGTTCAATTAGTTCATTATTTAGTTTTTTTTCTATTTTGTTCAACTGAATGTTAATTTTTTACAAATGTTTTTTGTTTTTTTCATGTATATATATATATATATATATATATATATATATATATATATATATATATATATATATATATATATATATATATATATATATATATAATATATATATATATATATATATATATATATATATATATATATATATATATATATATATATATATATATATATATTATATATATATACATATATTTATATATATATATATTTTCAATTTTCAGTTATGAAAAACAATAATATTGTATTTGATTAAAAGAAAATATAAAGTAACAAATAACAAATTAAAAATTAAACAAATAAGAAATAAGAAACAAACAAATTAGAAATAAAAACAAGTAACAAATAATTGAATAATAAAAAAAATTTAAAAACACCAATTAAATTATAAACATCCTAAAAATATTATCTATTTTAAAACTTTATTTTTATTTAAATATATATATATATATATATATATATATACATATATATATATATATATATATATATATATATATATATATATATATATATATATATATATATATATATATATATATATATATATATATATATATATATATATATATATATAACTTTTTTTAATTTTCAGTTATGAAAAACAATAATACCGTATATGATTAAAAGAAAAATATAAAGTAACAAATAACAAATTAAAAATAAAACAAATAAGAAATAAAAAAAACAAACAAATTAGAAATAAAAACAAGTAATAAATAATTGAATAATAGAAAAAATTTAATAACACCAACTAAATTATAAACATCCTAAAAATATTATCTATATTATAAACATCCTAAAAATATTATACATATGTATATATATATATATATATATATATATATATATATATATATATATATATATATATATATATATATATATATATATATATATATATATATATATATATATATATATATATATAAACCAAACCCTCAGTCGATGTAGCAGCACTCCCTTGCGAGTCAGGCTATTTGTCAGTCGTTGTAGCAGCACTCCCTTGCGAGTCAGGCTATTTGTCAGTCAATGTAGCAGCACTTCCTTGCGAGTCAGGCTATTTGTCAGTCGATGTAGCAGCTTTCCCTTGCGAATCAGGCTATTTGTCAGTCGATGTAGCAGCACTCCGTTGCGAGTCAGGCTATAAGATAGTCGATGTAGCAACATTTACGCATGTTTTAAAAATGTTTTTTAATAAAACAAAAACAAAAACACTACTAATTAAAAAAATCTTTCTAGTCGTTATTATTGCGGTTTTTTAAAAAAATTTTAAAAAACAATAAAATTTAATGTTCTTCCGCATTAATTTAATTGCTTTGACATTTTGACGACAATCAAATACAGCTTAAGAGACGAGGTAATTAAAGTTGTAGTGGAAAGAGACTTTTTTTACATTAAAAAACTCTTTCGACTACACTATAAGGATATATATATATATATATATATATATATATATATATATATATATATATATATATATAATATATATATATATATATATATATATATATATATATATATATATATTTAAATAAAAATAAAGTTTTAAAATAGATAATATTTTTAGGATGTTTATAATTTAATTGGTGTTTTTAAATTTTTTCTATTATTCAATTATTTGTTAATTGTTTTTATTTCTAATTTGTTTTTTTTTTTTATTTCTTATTTGTTTTATTTTTAATTTGTTATTTGTTACTTTATATTTTTGTTTTAATGAAATACAATATTATTGTTTTTCATAACTGAAAATTGAAAATAGTTACTATATAATTTGTTGGTATTTTGCACACAACTGTTCAATTTATATTACTTTAATTAAGTATTTGAAAATTTATTACTTTTTAAATGAAGTATGTATTGAAAATGAGAGTTTTTTTTATAAAAGTCAACAGTTCACAAGTCTATCAGACTAAGATCATTCAAAATACCATTGGCAACTACAATCTTGTCCTATCTTTTAGGCAGCATGTGGACTGCATGCTGGAAAAAGTTCTCATATGAAGAAAATGTCAAGTCAGTTAGACTATTTGTCATCCACCAGAAAAATGGTAATCGGAGAGTGTAATGTCTGGTAAATATAGTGGATGGAGTAGGACTTCTCATTTGAGGTTCTCCAGTTTGTTTTTTACAACATTTAAAACATGAGGTTGTGCATTGTCATGTTAGATAATTACCTTGTCATATGATTTTATTATATTATATAAAATATATTATTATAGATATACTTTAGTAAAGCACGTGCATTAAAAAGCAATTGCACTTATTTCTATGCAAATGAAATAAAAGAATTCTTAGAGTGATTGCTTAAATGTTTTGCATATTAATACAAGATGTCTAAAAAAATTTTAAAGTTTTTTTAAGTATGAAAGATACCCTAAGCATTTTTAATTCAATTTGTATAACCAAAACATGGTACGATTTTGATAAAGTTAATTCTAATTTAAATATCCACTTGCCTGGTTTTAAAATAATATCGCTAGTGCGTAAAGTGGAAAAGCGAGGTGGCGGTGTGTTTATTTGTATAAAATAAAGTTTTTGATTTGTTATGAGGTTTGACATGTGTATTTCTGATGACAATAAAGAGATTTTAGCAATCAAAATTTTTAACCAAAAAAACTGTTGCTACCGCAACAACTTCTGGCGTAATTAAATATTTTAACAACTATTTAGTTACAATAATTATAAAAAAAAACTGACCAAAAAAACAAATTAAAATATTTAATTTATTTATTTAAAAATTTTAATGTTTCCATTAATAAATAGACCAACTAGAATCACTAAAAAAACAGCCATTTGTTAATATCATAACAAATTTTTGAATGAATCTCTAAAAAAGAGTTATTAAAAGTCATTTTCTGATCATTTTCCTTTATTTTCTTTTTCTTCTAGAAAATTCTCAAAAGTCAAATAAAAATTACACATTAAATAAAAATTACACAATAAACAAAACAAAAAAAAGTCAAATAAAAATTACACATTAATAGAAAGTACATAATATACATCCACAAGAATTATGTTTTTGAAAGACTTTAAAAGAATCTAAAAAAGAAGGTACTGTTGTTATTTACTTAAGCAAAACAAAAATCATTCTAAATGTACATGGTGTTTGGAATTCTAAGAGAAATAACATTAAATCCATATCAGGTGCTTTAAAAAATTGCATTAAAATTAATTATGAAATCATATATGATTCTCATAAAAAAACAATTAATTTAAAATTTTTTTTTGTCTCAGTTAGACCTAATTTAGCAAAAAAAATTCCAAATATAAAATAAAAAAAGGATATCTTATCCATAGCAACAGCTAATCTTGATTCTTTTGAATTATCACTTAAGGAATTTGAAACTGCTTTTAGTTTTCTAAAACCAAACAAAGTGAATGGTTTTGATAATATAAATAGCAATATAATTAAAAATTTAAATAGAAGGCTAGTACCAACATAAGCAAACTTGAACTTATTCATTATCATCAGAAGCATATAACATGTTTAATAAATTTTAGGGAACGTTTCACCCCTGCAAAACCATTATTAAGAAAAATAAATGCGCAAAATATATATCAACTTAATGTTTATAATAAACTATGTTTTATGTTTTTATGTAAAATCAATTCTTTCTCGATTTCTTTTCATAATTTGTATTTGTCAAAAGATAGAAATAAATACATTTTACGCAATCATATTTTTATTAAGTGGCCATTTTTTTAAACAAATTATATTAAGTTTTGCATTGCTTTTTATAGACCATTTTTATGGAACAAAATAGTTTAAAAAATTTTTCCTAAAGTTTACATTGAACAGTATAACTACAACTCATTTAAACCAAAACTAAAAGAATTAATTTTTACAATTGATGATTTTTTAATATACTTTTAATATATATATATTTTTATGTATATTCCTTTTTACCTTCTATTAATTAAAAAACTTATAAAAGTTTATATATATGCTAAGACTTTTATGCAATTTTTTTTGGATATATAGTATATAAATCAGATTTTAATAATTTCAGTGGACTTTTTTGTAAAAAAAAATTACAATAAATTATTATGTTTATGTTAGTTATGTTAGTCGTTCTTGACAACAAGACCTAACAGTCTTCTACTAGTCCCTGCGTTCTATTATTTTTTATCAATCTACGTTTTATATTATCATTTGTTATATTCTTATCTTGTAATTTTGTAAACTTTTTTTTAAGCAGTTTTATAATGACATGTTGTTTAAAATGTAATAAAGAATAACAACAACAACAAAAATAAATACAGAGCATGATCTTGGAATCATGAATATTCGGTTTTGATGCCAATGTTAATGGTTGACTGGGCTTGACCCATGCTCAATATGAAATGCTCATTTTCAATGCATACTACCAATACTTATTATAACATGAAAATTTTAAAACTGTTAAATGATTTTGCATGTAGGTTCTTGTAAAATTAAATTTGAACTCTGCAAATGAGGTAGATAACTTTAATGTTTATGAACTGGATAAAGGTTTGGATGATGATCATATAAATTCATTTTATCTTGAAGTTGGAGTAAAGTTTTCTAATAACAAAACTTACACAAAAAATTCTCATAACTTTCATTTGGTTGGAAAAAAAAATCCTACAAGTAGGTTTTTTCTTAATTTTGTTTTGATTTATACAATATATAAACTAACCATATGTAACAACATAATAATGATGATAATGATGATCTTCTTTTTTGTTGTGATAATTGTGGTGATGCTGATAGTGATGACAGTTGTGGTGATGGTGGTAATGATTATGATGATGATTGTAATGATGATGATTGTGTTAATGATGATAACGATGTTGATGATATAGATAATGATGATAAAAATTTTGATAATGATAACAATGAGGATTATGATTGTGATGGTTATAAAAATGTTGATTCTGCCAACAATGATGATGATGATAGTTTTTAATGACAAGTTTGATAAGTGTTTTAAACAACATTTTTTTGAGAATAATATTGAAACATAGTAAAAATTATCTCTAAAATTTAAAAAAAAAAACAGTGTAAACTTAAATAAGAAAATACATTTCATTATTGATAAAAATTACAAAAAAACAACATTAACTGTAATCAGGATTTAAAAATCAGCACCCTATAAAAAAATCTTGTAAATCTTGATTTGTTTAAAATTAGCTTATAAGTTGATCCACACAAATTAAAATCTTTCAGCTTCGTTTTATCAATTTTTTTTTTAAGTGTTTTTTAATGTTGGTATTTTTTATTTTATTAGATGTTATAGAAAGTTATCTGAAACAATCTCATTTAAACACAACTGGTTCATCTTCTACAGGTTAGATTAATAATTTGAATCTCTTCCTTTTACTAAGTTTTATATTTTGAAGTAAAGTGACTTTTGTGCCTTCTTTGTTTATAAGACTTAAAGCTTAAGTTAAGCGACCTTATTTTTAAAGGCTCGCATTGTGTCAGTTGTATTTTTATTTTAAGTATCAGTTTTAAAAAAATTTTATTTAAAAGATTAACATAATATTTGTTATAAAATGTTTATTATTTAGTGATTTATGATAAAAATATTTTGTGTATTGTTTATCTTGTGATGTGCCACACCTTTGCTCAAAGGTATTCATTAAAAGTTTGGCATATGATGATTGTGTTGCACCATGTAATGTTTTTTTTTTGTGATGCATGAAGTTTTTTAAGATGTATAAGATTTTTTAAGTGTATGTAGTTTCTTAAATATTGTTGTAGTAATTCAGATTTTTTTTTATACATCATTTAGATACTTTACCTAAAAGAGCAATATTTTCTCAGTATTCAAAGCCTATTCAACATTATGTTGAACTCAGAAACAGTTGTAAAATTTATTTATATATATATATATATAGACCTCAGAATTAAAGTCTGCATTCGACTATGCAGAGCTAAAAGTGTTTGAGGTCGGCAAATAATCACCGACCTCTTTTCTATGTTTTATTGTTACTTTGTGTCAAAAAATTTTTACTAACCTATATATACCCTAGGGTGGTTCAAATTTAGGTCAAAAAATTTTTACGACTAGAGTGGAAGTTTATAAGGTGCACAGACCCTTGTTTTATATAAAGGATTTTTTTTTTTTTTTTTTTTTTTGAAGTTTAAGGATGGCACACGGCCCAAAAGTACTTTTTTTTTTACCTTTTTTTGATGTTTTTTGACCCACATGTGCCACTCTTAAACATTATTAAATTCAAATTATTTTTTTTTACATATTCTTTCAAGATCCTATATAATAAAATAAAAAGGCACTCTATTTGTATTATTATTTTTCATCACTGAAAAACATAGAAAAGTCGCTAAATATTGACAAAAAAACGGTTTTCTTTATTTCATTGATCGCGGTAGCTTTCGTTGCTTGTGATAAATAACATGTAGACATGGAAAAAACTTCAAAACTACGTATACCTATACTTATATCAAATTGTGATGCTTTAAAAAAATTCCAGTGATCGGAGTCTGAGGTCTAAAAAAACCCGTAAAACTTAGCCCCCCCCTACCCTAATGGCGAGGGCAGTAAGTTGCCCAAATTTATACTATTGTTATTCTGAACTAAATTTACATTTATCGACAGATTTCAAATTTCATTTAATAATATTGTAGCGTTCAAAAGTTATGACCATGTAAAGTTGCCACCCTCCCCAAAAAGAGGAAGTTCAACGTATAGTTCTATGGCTCAACGTATAGTTCTATAGCTCAACGTATAGTTCTATGGTATTTTTATTACAAAATCTAGTTTAATGTATTACATAATTTTTGGTGTTAAACTTAGAGATGAATCTAGATGAAGTTGGATTACCACTCCCCTAATAATATAACTTTATTACGAGTTACAGGTAGAGAAATGGGAATAAATAAAAATAAAGTTAACGTAATTTTAAACTTTGATTAAATAACCAACAATCAGCATTTTAAAATACTACTAATTACATTTGATGTTAAATCTTCTTTCTTTGTCCTTTTTTTATTCCTTTTATAAACATGGTTTAACAAGAACAAATCTTGTCTCTTCTTCTCTTTCATTGATTTTCCAATCAGCTCTTTTACTAGATTTATGGTCCTCTCTGATGAATTGTTAACCACATCTAGAGATTTAATAGTAGATTCAAGCTCAAGATAAAAATCGTTAAACTTCCAAAACTGCGAGGGGATCTTTAGCCACTGCAACTCACCCTTTCCATGTCCCATCTTATCAAAGATGAGCCAAGATTGTCCAGTTATTAGAGAACAAAGAGATGGAGGCTGATCTTGTGAAAAGTCTAGAGAGTGAAGAACCTCTTTATTGACCATAACATGTTCAAGTGGATACACTATTGGTTTGATGGGAAGTTTATTGTATAATGATGTGGCAATATCTTCTCTGTTTGGGCAATTTTCATCTGCTAATGCGAGCACAACTAAGGCAGGATCAAGGTACCAGCTGTGTCTGTCAAATGATTTTATTGCTAAAGTAGCTCCAAGAAGATTTATATCCATGAACCTCTTCATCTGCCACAGAGCTTTCATATCCTAAAAATATGTTTAACAATATTAGATTAAGTCATCAATTGGAAAATTAACTCATCATTTTTTACGCTTTTTTCTTATTTATAATGATTATTTTTAACCTGATATGGCGCAGCAGTTGCAGATACTGCTCTAAGAAACCATTGAGTGTAAAAGATACCGACAAACATAGCCATTTCACGAATCTCTTATTTTCTTCTGATAAACTTGGAATAGCTTCTAATAGTAAATACATTTTAAAATAATACAACGCTTTTGACATGAATCTTGCATGATGTATTGGACCAGGAATACCAAATTTGAACCTATCTTTTTGAGAAACTACCATCAAAGAAAGTTCCGCTAATTCTTGATAATCCTTTCTTGATTTACCATCCTAAAAATAAAGGATTTTTTATATTTATGATTATGATTTATTTAATTATGATTGTGTATACAGCTTGTTTAAATTATTTTAAGTAAGCTACTACAAAACTGTAATTAACCTTTTTGTAGATCCTATTATCTATTGCATCTCTGTAGAATTTTTCAGCTTCAAGATGTTGTTTATTTATCCAAGTTCCATTTGGAGTTTCAATCCTCTTCAATGTAACAATGTCTTTTTCAAGATCATTCCAGACAGATTTCAGGTGTTTAAAAAGCTGGTTTTTTGGACCAGACGTTTTACTACTGGGATATATCTTGTTAAAGTGGGTAATATGTCTTTCCAATATATGATGTCTACAAGCAAGGAAAAGTAGTGGCCTTCCCAGCTTATCGGCCATTCTTGTTATAACTCCTTGGTGCTTTCCAGTGTTAGAAGCTGTAGTATCAAAGCATATACACTGTATATGAGGACTAAGACCAAAAGAATCTAATAGATTATAAACTGCTTTAAACTGATTTTCCCCAGAACCTGACTCAATATAAGGAATACCTAGGAGCTCAGTTTTCCCATTCACTTTCACTAGTACTGCTAATCTTTCTCTTGTAACTGAAACTTTATCTGTATATTCTTTAAATATTTTCCCGTCAAAGTGAACAGAAATCAGCTTATATTTGGAGTCAGTCAAGTCTTTTATATACTGTCTAATTTTTGAGCTTCCGAATTTATTACTTTATCTACAGCTCGAAGAGATGATAATTTGGACACAACAAAATTATTTATTTCTTCTCCTAAAATTGCTATAACACTGCATATGATAGCAGTGTGCTGATTGATAGAAAGACCTTCTCCTACAGCAGTTAGTGCTGTACGCTTTAAAATATCTTTAGGCAGTAATAAACTTTGCTCTTCTTCATGAGAATCGTCTTTTGACTCACTTGTAACAGACTCGAGGCATTCTGAGCTTAAAGAAAAATCACTAACATCACCTTCTGAGCTATAAGTTGCATCTAAATCTCCTATTTTTTCTGATGATTCACTTTTAGTTGTTTTTTTTTCCGATCTTTTTGCAGACTTTTTGAAGCAAGTATCAGTAATGCCTAAACAACCTTGTCTTTTTTCTTTCTGCATTTTCAAGAACTTAATATCCATACATTTACTTTCTTCAGTTCTTTTTCTACCCTTTTTTATTTCATCAATCATGATTTGTATGTCATGTCCTAACCAAAATGCCCTTTTAGATTCTATTAAGAAGTTCTCTCTATCTTTTATTGCTCCTGGTGTTGATCTGTTTCTTAGCGATTGCAGCTTTTTATATTTCATTACTACAGCCTCGACTTCTTTCCTAAAAATAAGACTTATTAAATAACTGTAAAGCTAATTTAGATTAAGATTTCATAAATATTACTAACCGTAAAATGCATTGTATGTCACGAGTTCTGTATCCACCAAGTTCCCATGAAACTTTCAGCTTAGATATAACGCAGCAGCTCTCTCCCGAATCTGGACAATTTGGTGTAAATGTAGAACCTTTGTTTGGACAACAAACTAAGTTTTTAAGAGAAGTTGATGGTTTGGACTCACGTAAGTAAAGATAATACTGTATAACTTCTTCTACAGTTGCAAATTGAATAGATAATAGAGTCTTTCTAGTTTTTTTAACTAAGAATATTTCTTAGCCTCTATTTTTCATTTTTTTAAGAATTTTCGGCATAATTTTTTATTTTACTTTTTATTTTATGTAAATAAATTATAATAAAATTAATTTTTATTTTAAAATAAACACATTACCATCGTTAATAAGTTTTGTTTAATGTTATTAAAATAGCAGATGTTGAACATTGAGTATGATTATTACATTTGAACAATGAGATCATACCGCTGTCATTAAAATAGTTGCGTGTATAGAAAATTCATTACATTTGAAAAAAAAATTGTTCTTAGATATTTTTAAAGGACTTTTTTTAAGTTTTCAAAAAATAAATTGAGTTAGAGTGCCTTTTTATTTTTTTGTATAGGTCCTTGCAAGAATATGTAAAAAATAATAATTTGAATTTAATAATGTTTAAGGGTGGCACACGGGGGTCGAAAAACTTCAGAAAAGGGTAAAAAAAAAAGTACTTAAATACAGTGAATATTCTTCTAAAGGGACCATTCTTCTTTTTTTATGAGAGTCTTCAAATTTTACCAGGTTATTGGTCCAGACATTCTTGTTCTTCTGAATGCTACTATGGCTAGGCTTGTACAACGCCATGTGTTGCTTCTGTAATAACTATAAAATTAGATGAACTGCTATATATAGTATAGGCAAACATTTCCTGCTTCAATAATTTATCAAAGTCTAAAGAATCTAAATTTGGTATCTCCTTTACATTTTCTGTCCAGCTTTTCTTGTCTTTCTGTATATGATTTTCCAATTCTTTTTTCAGCGATAGAATTGTAGGAGTAAGTGTTTGGGAATTGTAAATAGAATCTACAGCTTCTTTTTCTTCGAGTTCATTTTCTTTGTCTTTATTTCTTTCAATTGTATAAACTCTTGTCAATATTTTTTTTATTTCTTGACGCATAACGGTTCTATTTGGCATTGAAAAAGTATTTTCATTTTTTTAAATTTCTTGTTCATATTTTTTTAGGATTTTGTAAGTAAACCAGTAGTCCATTTAAATTCTTATTACAACATTGTGTAAACCTTTCACGAAGTGCCGCGGCTAAATCAATGCTCAAAAGTGATGATTGCTTTTGTAATTTATCTAACATAAATTTAAAAGTTGTTTCCGCTGTGACAAGGTTCGATTCTCTCCTGCATAATAGTTCGAGACCAAGTGGTACCAGACAAATAATTAAATCATTAATTTAGGACCATTCTTCTTGGGTCAAACGATTTTCTGACCCAACATCAATTAAGGCTTTTTCAATACACACTTTTAGTCTATGAAATCTTTCTCACATATCGAACATACTGTTCCACCTAGTTTTACAATCAAGAATCAACTTAAGCTTTTTGCCATTTTCAAGTAGGATATACTTCTGTAAATATGTATCATTTTTGCCAGGAGAATTTTTAAATATTTTCACAACCTTTCTCACTTTTTTCATGTGATCTTTATAATTGCTAACCAATTCAGCAGATGGTCGGTCCAAAATTATTGTCAAACCATATTCTTTATTTATAACTTCATCATCATCAGTGTTCTCATGTTCATCTTCTTCTTCGCAATTTTCATTTGTAGTAAACGATTCTTCGACTTCTCCGTTATTTTTCTTGTATAAGATATCAATAACTGCAAGTTGTATTCCATGAGCATAACATTGATGTTAGCAAGATATCATTTTACCGACTTTCGCCATCACACTTGCTCCATCAGTGGTCATTGCGATAATGTCTTTTTGGAGGTCGATATTGAAGCTATTTAGCCTTCCTGCAACTAACTTGACGCAATATTCTGCATTACACGAAGCATGGATTCGAATCAATCCAAGATTAATATTTTGCCTCCATATGTACATTTAAGTTAAGGTATCTCTGACTATTTTGTGATGTCCATTCGTCAAATGTTATTGAAAACTTTTGATTTTGCTTTTTTAGTGATATAAATTTTTGCATTATATTGGCTTTTACAGAATCTGAGAATTTTACTACCATTGATCTTATAGTATTAGGTGAAGTAGGGAGCCAGAAACCACTCTTTGAAATCAAATACCGCAAATCTAAAGATGTGCAAAAACTATTAAGCATAAATCCATCTTTAGCAACCATGCGCAATACCATTTTTTACATTGAAAGTTCTTTTACGAAAAACGTGTCTATTGTTTTGACCTTTTTTGATAGAATTACCTCTTCGTCTTTGCAGTCGATATATATTTTAGACTCTAGTTCAACTGATTCATGCTGTTTTGAAGTTGAAAAATGATTCATGTCGTCTTGTTGTAAAACGTTTAATTTTAAATCAGTTCCATGTTTAGTTTTTAAATAGATTAATAACCCTTTTGTTGATCTTTGACTAATTTTTAAAATAGCCGAACATAACATGCACTTCGCATTTTCTCCTTTATTACTTTTTTTAAAATAATTCCATATAGTTTTAATTTGCGACATCCTTAGTAGGCACTTTTGTTTTAAAATCTTAATGTAAATAATTTTTGAAGTCTTTTTAAAAAGTAGTGCGCTTTTTATTAATCACGTTTTCAATTTAACGTTTTCAACATACTCATCAACAAAAATTTCAATATACTCATTAGCAAAAATTTCAACATAGTCATTAACAAAACAAAAAAAATTTGAACGAGTTTCTCCGTATACATTTCATTGTGCACTTAATGACTATTCTATGACTAATCATTAACAAAACAAAAAAAAATTTGAACAAGTTTCTCAGTATACATTTTATTGTGCATTTAATGACTAGTAAACTTTTAAATAAATTTCTTATGCAAATACATTAAATACTTTAATTTGATATCTTTTTCGTCTTTGTTTATAGAATTGCTTTTTTTATTTAAAAGCAATAATTTCAAAACTCAGCAAATCCTGCCGATCCCGCAAATCCCGCGGATCCCGCAGTAGTTTTTGCGGGATCTCGCATGCGCTAAAATAATGTGGGATCCCACGGGATTGTGGGATCACGCAATGCGGGATTGCAATCCCTAGATTTCACTGCCTAGCAAATAACATTTTTACACTAAAAATATGCATTTTTAGATAAAAAATTTATAATTTTTTTTTCTGTTTTTTATAAAATGATGATTATATTTTAAGTTTTTATTTAATTTGCCTCAGGTAATGTAATGAAACCCAAATATTATGTTTATATATAGTTGCATTAGTCAATATTAGAAAGAAAAATAATACATAGCAAAATAACATACATAATGTAAATATTACTATATATGTATTGATTACCTTCGTTGTTATGGAATATTATATGTATAGATACTATATATGTATTGATATATGATGTATTATATACCAAGATATCAAATACATATAATATACCATAAAAACATTTCATTCATCCATCTTTTAAAAGTATTCAAATAAGTTTATAAATCAATTCATTCTGGTTTTTACAAGTTTGTGAAACTCTACAAGGAAAAAAAAACAATACGCTTCATAGGGTTTGAATTATCTTCAACTTTTTTTTCTGAAGTTTATTGTCAGCTTTGAAAGCTGTATATGGTCATTTTCTTTTGGGTTAAGGTATTTAATAGTAAGCAATAATATTGAGACCTAATGACAGACAATGAATGCAATGAGTATAACATTCAACACATTAGTGCAGAGCAAGTACAGATTTTCT